GCGTACGCCGTTTTCTGGATTTGACCGTATGTCAGGTTTCAGTAAGAAATCCACACAAGTCTTTGTACATGAGGCCCCAGGTGATAACTTTCTGAGACTTAATAAAATTAATACATTGGGTCATGAAATGCAGTATTTTGGGAACAGCCATAAACAGACATATAGACACTGGAAAAAATAACACTGTCTGCCTTCACTTTTTGGTGAAGGACAATGATTTTTAAACATGAATCTCTGTTAATGAATAATGTTTTTCACATGTCTGTAGGGTAAAACATGACAAAAAGCAGGCAGCACACACTATTGTGAATGGTTGTGAGAAAAATAAACCATTCTACATGCAAGCAAACCCAATTCACTTCTCAGTTATGACAAGTTTCAACTTGCCAAGAAACTCAACTTGCAGGTGTTCTTTCAGTGAGACTTTATGACAGGTTTGGGACATAGTTTGCTCACATACCTATGAGCCAAATAGTTAACATTCCCAGCTTTCTGTTCAGTCATCTTGACTTAGATGAAAATGTCTTAAGGGTCACAATTATGACTATGATACCTCCTGCCAGAGGCCAGTAGAATAAACAGCCCATTTTGGGAGTGTGAGTTGTCCCTTGTGATTTTGTTGGCTCTGGTGAGGCATCACCTGAAACACGGGGGTGGGGGTGGGGGGGGGTCTTATTTTTTTGTTCTTTTACTTCTCTGTCACTGTTTTATGTTTGTCTTTGAAGTGTTTATATGTCCTCATCTCCTTTGCTCTTTCCAGGATGTTGCGGAGGCTGATATGTGGTCGACTGGGTCCAGTATGGTTATGGAAAGCACTGCTTCTTTTCATAGTCATTGCTTTTGCTGGACAGCTGATGGGAATAATCTTCAACAGGAGGTATGGGATTATGTTAAACATTTTTATTTATATTGTACTTGTACTCTAGTTACAGTTTAGTTGTAGTCTGGGGATGAAGCTCTAGTTCTTAGAAACCATATCTTTAATTTGCAGAAAAATCTTCAGTAATGCTGCTCCTCTGTTCTCCAGCAGTGTCCAGCCAGCTCCACAATCCATCTTCTCTTCCCCTGACGCTCAGGGCCCCCCGCTTGGGTCCTGTCAGCCCCACACTCACATCATGTTCCTCAAAACCCACAAGACAGCCAGCAGCACAGTACTCAACATGCTATATCGCTTTGGAGATGAGCACAACCTCTGCTTTGCCCTACCACTGGCTTACCAGCTGGGCTACCCCCTGCCCTTCAATGCTCACAGGGTCAAAGGTTATCGAGGTCCCAGAGCCATCGAGTTCCACATTATGGGCAATCACATGAGATTTAACAAGCCAGAGGTGAGTTGTCCACTGAAACCACAGTCATCCATGAGGGGAAAAAAAAAACAAGAACTAAAACGAAGGACTAGTGATCCTTAAATAAATGCATATTGTCCACCGTCTTTAGTGTTTTAGACTATAATGAGAAATACTTTGAAAAAGCAAAAGGAGGAATCTCATTTTTGCAAGATGTTCAGAGAATGTGTTGGTGACAATTCTCAGTTATTACCATGTCAAATTTTAGGTCAATACCTGTAAAATTGACTGAGTCATTTCTTAAGGTCACTCATACTGTTGAATGTTGAATTTGGATTCATGAAACATTTTGATAAAAGACAGAATCTGACACTCACAGAGATACCACCTAGGCAAAACCATTCAACACTTCTCCTTTTGGAAGCAGACAATAAACTAGAGGTTTGTGGGAGACCTAGACAAAGCGGGCGTCTCCTTTTAGTCTAGCTCTGTGGTTCTAAAACCGGAACATTCCTCCATGGCTGTTCTAACACATTGTAATGTATTTTTATCCAACACCTCCCATGTCTTTTTGTGGAATTTAACAGTGATGATAATTTAAGTTCAGTCACATCAAACCATAAATCTGGYGTTTTAAATAAAGATTGTTTAAACCAGAGAGCAGCTGTGGTTGAATGGTTGGAGCAGTCCTCCAATGAGGGAGTTGGGGGTTTTGATTCCWCCACTGATTTGTCACATGTCAAAGTGTTAAGAGACTAAACACACTGCCTCTGATGAGTGTCCCATCAGAGTATGCATCGAAAGCCCTGATTAGTCTCTAGCAGAGGTCTTCAACCCTTTTCCTTGTGACCTACTGTCCTGCATATTTTAGCTGTTTCCTTGCTTCAGCATACCTTATTCAAATAATTAAATTACCTACTCAGAATGTCATCAGGTTTAGCAGAAGCCTGACAATCACTCATGCATTTCATTTTTGTAATTTCCCTTGTCTCTATAATGATCAGGGACCTCATGTATGGACATACAGTAGTATAAAAAGCTGTAAAAATTGCCACCAGGGGGCAGGAACTTACCCAAAAGGGGTGTGTTCCTTTAGACATTGCGGTTGAGTACCGTCTCATTTTGTCATACAAAGTTGTTTTAGTTCAGAAATAGAGCAAAAACAGACTAGTGTTTTGCATGTGCATCAGTTTTGAATAACATACGTTAAAAGTGATACTTGAGTGAAAGTACAAGTATCTTACCATAAAATTACTTTGGTAAAAGTTAAAGTCTCAGTTAAAAATATTACTTGAGTAAAAGTCTTGAGGTAGCTGACATTTATTGTACTTAATTATAAAAAGTAAATGTCTATTATAGAATGTATCTAAGTATTAATAAAAATAAAAATATCCATAATTTCTGGTTTCGGATGAAAACGTAAAGGAGGCTCCGAGCAGCAAAGCAGGGAAGATGAGGGAAAGCAGGGGAGAGGGAAAAAGAGTCCTACTTCAGACTCAGCAGAAGCAAAAATAAATAAATAAAAAGAAAAAAACAGAGCAAAGAAATAAGCAACAATTATGCATATTAACAGTCATATAAAGTAATGGGACAAATATTAATGGTTAATGATTCAATCCTGTAACCTTCTTGCTGAGTACTACAGCAGCTCCGTCACCTCACAGAAGAGATTGTTCTTTTTCATTTCACKCCCTCTCAGCTAAGTTCCCAAGTTTGGCCAGTTTCTAACTAGAAAACAGGTGTGCACACACAAGTGGCTCACATTCGCCTCAARTATGCTAACCCAGAGGTTCTTAACCTTTTTTGACGTCGGGGCCCAATTTGTTGAACATAAAATGACACGAAGCCCAGTCAGACAGTGTAGGAGGACACTTAGGAGCCTCAAAACTTGTATTTTTTGAAAACATATTTAAGAAGATACTTTCAGATGACACCTCAGTCCAGGACAGACATGTCCACCTCTGCACATTCAGAAGATAGAGCCATAGAGGCAAACTGAAACACCCTACCTCTGTAGCAACTCTGTACCTTAAATGAAGTGCTCCAGTAGAAGTGATTTTTTATTGACAATTACATTACTGTTGTTGAATTCCAATAGTAGATGATGGTTGATGATTTTATTTCCTTTATTTTGGCTTTTTAGGTGGAGAAAGTGATGCCATCAGACACATTCTACTTCTCCATCATCAGGGACCCTGCGGCTCTGGCTGAGTCTTCCTTTGCCTATTATAAAGCAGTGGCTCCAGCCTTTCGGAAAGCCAAAGGATTGGGGGACTTTGCTGATGACCCTAAAAAATACTACGACCCTCATCTCCGCAACAATCACTATGCCAAAAACTTGTTGTGGTTTGACTTTGGTCTGGATCACAATGCTAATTTCTCCTTGGCATTAGCTCGGGCTGGTGAGGACCTCATCCGGCAGACCTTTAAGCTTATTTTGGTGTCGGAGTACTTTGACCAGTCAATGATACTCCTGAGACATGCCCTTTGTTGGCCGTTGGATGCTGTTGTCTCATTCAGCCTTAATGCTCGACAACAGAGGCCCAGTGGCAATGGAGGAATTAGTGGGAGCTGGGTAGGAAAAGCTGCGGCAGGTGTTGGTCTTAAAGGTGGGAATAAACAATCAAAGGTGCCCCCAAATCTGTCATTAACAGAGAATCAGCGGGAAAAACTGAGACAGTGGAATGCCTTGGACTGGTACCTGTACAGAGCCTTTAACAAGACCTTTTGGGAAGATGTTGACAGGTTTGGCCATACTCAAATGGAGAGGGAAGTAGCTCTCCTCAGGATGCGGCGGGAAGATCTGGCTCGGGTTTGTCTCAGAGATGGTGGAAAGCCYATAGAGGCTCAAAGGATCAGAGATAAAAATATACGGCCTTTTCAGAGTGGTTTAGTAAAAATTCTAGGCTATGAGCTGCAGCCTGGGTTAGACAACATCACTCGGACCTCATGTATGAGGATGATCAGGCCCGAGATCCAGTACAAAGACTTGTTGGACTTCAAACAGTTTCCTGAGCCCTCTGTTGCCCAAGTTCCACCAGGCCAACAGAACCAGGTTCTGATGGTAGCGGTTGGTGGGACATTTTTAAGACAGGATTCATCCAGGAAACGAGGRACTCTGGAGGATGGGATGAAAGACTGGGATGGAAGTCATTTATTCAGGAGGAACCAGACCATGATACGAGTGCATGAAAAAAGAAAGTTTAGATAGTGTTACCTGTGTTTGTTTACACATGTAAAAACACACCTGTTTCTGCCTGTTTTCCTCTCAGCTGTAACTGGTGTCATTCTGTTGGATGTTTTTATAGCAGTAGATAAAGGTTGCTTGTACTATGTTGTGTTTTTTTAATAATAATTCTCTAAATGTGGACACAGCCTTGATATTACTCTGTATTTGAAAGCAGACACATGGAAACCTGTTTTCTGGCTGCATTTATCAGCCAAAACATTAAAACCACTTTTTTAACTGTGTGTCGGACCCTTTCTGCCACAGAAATAGTTCTGACACATCGGGGACATTTTGTGCTTTTAGTCTAACAGTTTGATCACATTCCCATTAAAATCKGGCTGGAAAGGCATCTCAAATATTAAAGATGTGACATTTGTTGAAGGAATGCATATCACTTTCTGCCTTTCATGTTAGCGTTTTAAACATTTTGTTGAAATTTTAAAAATGAATTGTATGATCTCACAAATTGTTAGTGCTTGGAGTATGTGGGTTATTTTTTAGTTTAGTTTCCAGACTGGAATATCTTCACTTAGCCATTTTTTCCCGAGGCCAGTTGATTAGCTCTGGTAGCTGTCTTTAATTGACTTGGTAATCAGTTGGAGATTAATTCAATAACTACATTCTGAGAGTTTAATTGAAAAGTAAGCTTGACACAATTATGACATAAATCAGTTGATGCTTTGCAGAACTGAACTGAAAAATCTGGGAGGGTAAAATGCCTGATTGGATAAAAAGATTTATTTGCACAATGAACGTTTGATATTGTATTTTCTCTAAGTTCATAGTATTTTTACAGCACAACATATTAAACCAGTTTGTCAGTTCTTATTGCCTTCAACCCACCTGCCACTACAGTCTGAACCTCTTAATGAACATAAGAGACACTCGTACAAGCTCAAGTATCACTTTAGGCATTCTGTTCCTGCTACAGTTTGTAAGCTAGCACTGCCCACTGAAGAGAAGCTGGGATGGAAAAACCTTTAGTGCCCTCAGAAGCCCGTTTGTATTCATTTCCCAACCAGTGAAATTAAGAGTGTCTCATGTATACGTCTCATGTATCTTTGGAAATAATCCAAGGCTCTTGTTTCTGTACAGAGCAGGTCTGCAGCCTCCACAGGGTCTGTTTAGAGTTACCATCTGAACACAGTACATTCTTTCAGTGTCTGAAACTGATAAAACTTGTAGAAGGACTCGCTGATTAAAGTCAGATGGACAGTGTGTTGCAAACATTTTCAGCCCTCCTGGTGTCCTCTAGTTGCCTTTAAAACCTGAGTGTTAAAAATGAATTTTGGAAGGTTTTTTATTTTCTCATTAACAGAACAGAACTAAACACTATGAAGATTCAGAATGTTTATTATAATAAAAAAATGAAAACATTACACACACACACACATATAGATATTTACTTTCCCTAAGTTAATACCAGTTTTAGCATCAGTTCTGCCACCAGGTCTGTTCATGCCCATCTCTATGATCTTAATCCACTAACTTACTGAATCTTTTGTCCGTTCTTCATGTCCAAATTGTTTCAGGTTCAGGTTAGATGGGTGCTGTTTGTGTCCAAAAATCAAGCTACAAATAAAGATCAAACTACAGAATCTTGGTAAAATGGACAGATTTTGCAGTGTACGTGTTTGGGAGTGGTATAGTGAAGATCCAGACCTCAATCCAACTAAGTTTTAAAATCCTATGTCCATCCAAAAATACTTTTGATCTTGTTTTTGAGACTGGTTTACTAAACAAGAACAGAATGTGTAAAATTAATAACCTTGGTATCAGAAGGCGTAAGATTATTTTGTTAGCCTGAAAATTTGACTGAAGTGAAAAATTCTGTCACTGCAGTAAGAAAATTTTACTTAGTGAGATTCTTGAAATAAGAAAATTGAGTCAAATCAAGTATTTCAAGAATCTTACAAAGTAAAATTTTCTAACTCCACTGGCAGAATTTTTCACCTAGTGAAAGTTATCCTCATGTGTGCACCACAACAGCTTCAGACACACACACACACAAACACACACACACACACACACACACACTATTACACACACACACAC